TGCTGGTCCCATCCTGCCCTCCACTGCTTCTCTGAGTCTTTTTGTCTCAGGCCCAGACCATGCTTCTTTAACAAAGCCTGTCCAATACCCCAAGTTGCTGAGTGGCCCCTCCTATAGACCTTCATAGTGCACATTCATTTCTCCATTACGAGCAGGTTAACAACATACTTGCATTAGAACTTAGTCTCTTCCTCCAAAATCTGATTCTTTGAGGGCTCAGTTCATCTCTTTCATCTCCATACACCTAGCACCTAGAAAAGGACCCTCAACTTTCTTTTAGGTGAGTAAGTTAATCATTGAATATAAGTTGATTCTCATAGGCTTAACTTAGGCTCAGAAAGTTCTGGTTTAAACTGGGTTATAGCACTTCCAAAGTGTGGAGCCATTACCCTGAAGTACGATCCTTTCTTTTATTGAGTAGAAGGGGAAGGGACTGGGGAGAGGAGAGGCTGGAGCAGATGTCAGTACTTCTTTCCTGACATCAACTCAGAGGAAGAGGATAGGAGTTACCAAACTGACTCTCAAAAGGGGACAACAGATCCACATTCACACTCACAAGCTCATCACAGAGTACCAATTGCAATGCAATTTGCTGCAACAGGGATTCTCTTTGAAGAGGTCATGCCAAAATATGGTCATGAGACCTTTCCATGTGAAGGGAGCAGAGATGGTATCTGGGGGTTGTCCATGAGAATCTGGGGAGGGCTCCAACCATACACACTAGCTGTGAGCCACAGAATGCTTGCTCAGCTCATTAGCAACTGCTGCTTACAGTGACCATTCATCCAACAGACTGGCCTTGAACGAGATGATAGGATCAGCGGGTTCATGCCCTAGAGAGCTTTGCTCATCATTAACATGAGCTATGTATGTCCTGTTCAGAAACCATTCCACTTGTTGAAGAAACGTTGCAATGTAATATGATAAACATTTCCTCATCATGAGTAGAGATTTGCCTAGAATGATCTGCACAAAGGTGGCTGCACTTTGCATGAATCACATGCTGGTGAGGTATAGGTAGCACCAAAAACTAGTCCCACTTGAGCCTTCGAGTCAAGGCATATTTACCTGCTTCATTATAAACCTCAAAGGTCCCTGATGTCCTGCTTTCATTGTTTAAGTATCCTCCTTCTTCACAAGGGTGGAATTACCTGTTTATAATACCAGCGATTACTATGCACCTTGGAATTGAGTAGGAAGCTCAAGTTTGAATGTCTAATTTGGAGGGGATTTCCTTTACCTTCAAAGTCAAATTCTGCTTCCTCTTGATATCAGAAATCATGCACCTCAACCTCTGGAAAGTTGGGAATGGCAGCCAGAGGGAAGCAAGTTGTACCATCCTGGCTAATGTGAGAGGGGAGCCTAGCCCTGGAAATTCCGCACAAACTCAGAAAGAGAACAGTACATCCCCCACCTCCCACACGTCCACCTCATCTGTTCTCCTGAACAAGCACAAACAAGACACAGCAATTTAGTATGAGTAATGGGCTTCTAGGAAACAGGCTCATGAGGTTGTACTCATAGAACCAAAGGAGGAAGCCAGCAGCCATGTGCTTGCCTTGATCTGCATTTAATGGGGCTATGGCTTTAAAAAGAAAACAGCCAACACCCTGATCCTACTCACCCTAGCTTTTAAAAAGGCACAGCGGAAGTCCTTACCTACAGTCACTGAAAAGCTGCTGGATGACCAAAGCTGCTAGTGTTACCTTAAGGACTCCTTTTGGGAATCTAGTCTCTCTCCCTCTGTCCTTTGTCTGCAAACTCCACTCCTCCAGAAAGAATCCTGAGCTTTTCTCACATCAGGCCTATTCCTTCAGTTCTTCCTTGGCAAAACTGTCAAAGAATTCTGTTTCCCTTTCAAAGCTGCTCTTCTGGTCTCACATGCTAACTTTAACTACAGAGAAGCTGACAGAACCTGTTCCCATAAAACAAACACAATCACTCCCAGTTACTGGTATAACTCAGTATATTTTCATCCTAAGATTCCTTCTGGCACCTGATCTGAAGAGGGAGGGAGTGTGGAAAGAACCTTGGACTTGCTATCAGAAGAGCTGCCACTCACTGGCTGTGAAACTATGGGCAGGTTATTTTGTTTCTCTGAACCTCCGTTTCCTCAATTTCTAAGATAGAGATTTATTGAGAACATTTGAGATCTTGCTTCCCGACCTCAGTCTGGCTGAAATAAATGGTTATAAAATTTTTTAAATAAAATCGAGATTTATTATCCTTAACTATAATATTCTCACGGAGGATTAAGTGAAATAATACTCCTGAAAGCATCTGACATATAAAATGTGTGACTACGCGCAGTGTCATCTCTGACATCTAATTTGTGTCTGCCTCTTTTCCACATGGGGCCTGAGTAGGACTACTGTTTCCCCTCGCCTTTAATGTTACTTTTCAGACCTCAGCTTCCTTCCCTTCCCAACATCTCCCCAGAATGCAACCTTCCCCTTTTCCCCTCACAATTAACCCTCAGTCATCCCTCTCACCAGTCCCTCTTTACTTTACCTTCCTGGGCCAGATTCTCTCACTTGAGGCATCTCTTCTATTATTAAGTCTCTGCACCACAAATACAAATGCCTGCTAAACACTCTGCATGGCCCCCTTTGGAAGCTGAAAGGAGACCGATTGCTCCCCAGCCTGTCTGTCCTCTGTTGTGAGCCATCATACCCGCTGCCTTCTGATGAAACTACTTTTTATGATGTTACATCATCTCTATAGAAACTGTGTTCTTTCTCCATTATTAGCCTGTTTCCTCATCTGTAGAGCTAAAAATACTAACCCCACAGGCTTGTTGTAAGGATTATGTGAGTCAGGTATGCAAAGAGCTCAGCACAGGGCCTCTCTGGCAGTAAGCACCCAACAAAAGGCAGCTATTATCTTCGCCTTTGTATTGAGTTGCCTGTTCCCACCTTCGGCTGCCGCACTAGAATTCTCCCAACCCTCTCAAACGCTGTGGAGAAACAGCCCTCCTGCAGCAAGGAAAGGGTTAATCTCTAAGTGTTCTTAACTAGAGAGACCCACAGAGGATTAACAGCTCCACTTCAGTGACTACCCTAAAATAGCTTTTATCCCTCCTGCCTAAGAGCTACTTGGGGATCTGAAGAACTCAATTCAACACCTGCCGAGGAGGAAACACACCCTGGAACCCATTCCTTGGGGTGGATAGAATCTTCCCTTAAGCAGAACCCAAAATAGCAACTGGGAAATTATAAATAGACTTAAAGAGGGGAAAAAAAAAAACCCCAACAACACAGATCCTGACCTGGGCACCAGAAATGAATCCAAAAGACACACTGGCTGGCTGGGAAACAGTGGGGCGCACAGAATGAGCAGAGCTGCCCCCTCACTCGCGCTCGCACACACTGGGGAGCGGTGGGAGAGTTAAATGACAGAGGCCGGGAGTCTCGGCGCCTTGCATCATCCCTTCCAGCAGACACCCGACTGGATGAGCAGGGCTTGGGTCCACTCCGGGGCTGCCAGTCCTGTCAGTTCCGACGGGCCCTCTCTCGGGTCCCTCTGCCTCGCTCTGTCCTTCATCCCCGCTGCCTCCCACTCCCGAGGAAGCCTGGAGGGAAGGGCTGTCGCTCACGACGGCCCCGTTTTCACCAAGAGGAGAGCTGATTAGATGCCCACCCCCACACCCGTCCCAATCTGCTGACCTTAGGGAGGGGGGGGGGGCCTCAGAAACCCAAGGCCAGCCTCTATCACAGCCCCAAACTGACAGATGGAAAAACACACAAGCCAGAGACAAGCCGCGCGGGCAGGTGAAGGCACCGCCAGCTCCCCGCGCCAGTTGTCCCCATGTCGCCCACCTTACAGGTCCCTCCCCCACCAGGCTGGGCCACAGCGGGGGGCTGGCACTGCAGGGAACCGCTTGGCTCCCCCGGCAGCTTCTGGAGTCTAGAAGGTTTCATTCCCCTGGAGCTGGGCGGGGGGAAGGGGGGTGGCTGCCGGGGAAGGAACACATTCGGGGACGGGTTTGGAGCTCTCAGGGACGGGAAGGAAGGGGCGAGTATGGCCAGGAATCATGAGCAAGCCAACTGGATCTCTAAGGGTCCCCCCCCCCAAATAAAAAGACACTGGGGAATTATGAGGACTGGAAGGTTCCAGATAGTCACAAGTGAATTCCCCGAAGTTCAAGAGTCTGGAAACGGGTGTTGGGGTAGAAGAGACCTAAGGTCAGGGAAGAGGGTCGCTGCGGGGGAACCGTGGGGAGGTCCTGTCGGGGTTGCGGGCAGCCTCGAACAGGGCGGCGAGGTTCTGGGAAAGGAAGCGGAGGGTGCAGAGCGGGCTCCGGGCGGGGCGGGGGTCCGAGGTCTGA